AAATGTTTGGTGCACACAAATGGGGAATGAATTTCATTGTTTGGTTGCGGTACTATGTTTTTATGCTTTCTACGCGATTCATTCGAACGTCAGCGAATAGTTTGTCTCACAAAACATGGAACCACTTTCTCTTTGCACAACATTTCGAGACGTACTTATTATGGCACTCGGGCCATAATGGACACGCTTACGATACCATTTTTATTTATTTATTTTTATGCTGGAAGCATAAAGGTAAGGTAATAACGTTCTGCCTAATTTAATTGTAATGGGTTCCTTTTCATGTCACATATATCCATTTCTTTAATATCCTCCCTAACCTGCCGCTTTGGCAACCTTTCTTGTAAGTGTAAGTCTCGCCAGAAGAATTTTAAATGTTGACATCCTTCCCGGCTATAAAACGAACCATTCTTTGGGGGCTGTCCTGGTGTACCGGTACACGGGGGAATTCCTATTGTTTTCATATCCATACATGGAGTTGTGAAGCAGTTCGTTAATGTTTCGTTCCTTTGTGTACCGGTACACGGGGACACAACCATTCTTTGTGCAACATCGCTATTAATTATCAGACCCATCCCAGAGGACCAGGCCTTTGGAAATTAAACTCATCCCTATGGGGAAAAGTAAAATTACGTAAACAATATTAAATCGACAATTCTTGAAACGGTCAACCAATACGAAAGAAGCGAAACAGTAGACGAAGCGTTGTTATGGGAAATGATTCAGCTTCAAATTAGAGATACTTCAGTCAAATATTCAAAGGCGAAAACAAAGAAAATGAAGAACAAGGAAACCGATATTGAGAATTATAGCCGCTCTCGAAAGGCAGTTGGAGAACTGCATAAACAACGACAAAGAAGCTCTTGCTGAACAACTGAGGGTGAAGAAAAGGGAATAAGAGAGCATCATTGAGTACAAAACAAAAGGAGCCATAATTAGATCCAAAACGAGATGGTATAATGAAGGTGAGGAAAAAAAATATATTCTGAGCCGAGAAAATCGCCACTGCAAAAAAAGATAGTCTCATGCAAATCAAGGCAAAGGATGAAGCAAATCTTACAAATGACTCAGATATTCTGAGAGAGTGTAACTCTTTTTATCTTGATCTTTACACAACCAAAAGTACCAAAATATCAAAACTTTTGGAAAAAACCTTTTTTTGGCTATGAACACCACAAACTCAACGAAATGGATAAGAAAAAATGCAAGGGTCTCTTTACTGAAAAATAATGTCTAGAAGCTGTCAAGTCAATGGAATCCGGTAAATCGCCTGGTACAGACGGTCACCCTGCCGAATTTTGTAAAGTTTTCTGTAAAGATGTATCTCCTTTCCTTATAAGTTCCCTTAATAGAAGCTATCAAAATGAAAATCTAGCCATAACTCAGAGAAGGGGTATCATTTCTTTGGTCCAGAAAAAAGACAAAGCATTAAACGAATTGAAGAATTGGAGGCTCATAACCCTGTTTAACTGCAATTACAAAATTGCATCACAAGCGATCGCATCTCGTCTCAAGTTTGTGTTGTCGGATCTAATAGATCACGATCAGACCGGTTTTCAGAAAGGCCGTTCTATTGCAGAAAATATTTGTTTGATCAATAATGTTACTTCCTATACCCACTTGAAAGATCTTCCTGGATTACTCCTGTTCATCGACTTCGAAAAAGCATTTGATACCATTGAATGGACTTTCTTGGGGAAAACGTTGGAGCATTTTGGTTTTGGTTCCTCTTTAATTAATTGGATTAATTTATTTTTACTCTGATATCCAAATCTGCATAATAAATAATGGATGGTCAGGGAGTTTCTTTAGCTTCGGTAGAGGTGTAAGGCAGGGCTGCCCGCTCTCACCTTACCTATTTATCCTCTGTGTCGAGGTGTGCTACAGCTACTCGTGAAGACAATGAGATAAAAGGAATCTCTGTGGGAAAAGTAGAGCGTAAATTAAGTCACTATGCGGACGACACCACGATGATATTAGATGGTTCACAAGCGTTACTTGAGAGGTCTTTTGTTTCGGTCAACTGCCTGGCCTGCGAGTGAACTGTGGAAAAACCGAAGTTCTCTGGATAGGATCAAAGAGAGGGTCAAATCAAATTATGTGCCCAGAAAAAGAACTTGAAATAGGCGGATGGTAAAGTCAAGGCCTTAGGTGTTTGGTTTTGTACGGACCAAAATGAAGAAATGAAAATGAACTATGAAGACAAGGTTCACAAAGTTGAAGATATTCTTAACAATTGGCAAAAACAAGAGATTAACGCTTCCTGGAAAGATTACAATTATAAAGACGTTGGCTGCATCCCAATTGGTCTACATTTTGTCCTCATTACGTACGTGTTTTAAATCGTTAAAAGAAATAAATGATTTATTTTTCAAATTTCTCTGGGACGGAAAAAGGCCAAAACCAAACGGTCTGAAATGATTGCTGACTATGGTGATGGTGGTCAAAAAATGTTGGACATCATGGCATTCAATAAGTCTTTAAAGATCGCGTGGATAGTAAAGTATATCTATATCTCTGATGATTGTAAATCCAAATGGAAAAATTTGGGGGATTTCTTTCTTTCACAATGGGGAGGAATATTAGTTTTTCTTGGGAACTTAGAAAAACAAGACTCTACCAAATATGATATCAAGGAGGACTTCCTTCGAAAACTTATCGAAATCTGGGTGGACTTTAATTTTAGAGACTCTTTCCTCTCCAAACATGACTTTTCTAGTAGTAGTATTAATATGGAATAACTCATTAGTTAGAATTGCTAATAGGCCTTTTCTTTTTTTTTACAAGCACTGGACAGAAGCTGGTGTACAAATTATCAAAGATCTTGTTAACGATGATTTTTAGGTCAAAACGTATGGAGAGTTTAGAGAGAAATATTGCTTATCTCCCTCTTTCCTTTAATTTTTTGGAGTGACCTCGGCCATAAGGAGCGCTATGAAATCTCTGAAATTGAAAACACCAAATGGAGAGGATCAGGGGTTTTCGGTGCAAAAATTGATTGCAGCAACCAAGCCGACTAAATTAGCGTATAAAATTCTACAAAAAATTTCTACTAGCCCCCGAAAGAGTCAAGAAAAATGGGTAAGGGACTGTGACCTTGAAGTGGTGGAGGATTTTAGCTGAAAGTCAATTTTTTATCACAAGGGCTGTGTACGCTCAGTACTAAGATAAGGAACTTCCAGCTCAAATTTCTCCACAGACGTATAGCAACGAATTCCTTTCGATCTAAAATGGGAGTTTCGGGACTGCTCTCTGTTATTTGCGCAAAACAGACAAGGAAACATTAATCCATCTTTTTCGGGGAATGTTCTGTAACGAAAACCTTCCTCACACGTTTTGGATATCTATGAATGTTTAGGTTTTAGAGGAAAGAAAGATGATATTTTAGTGAGTCATTGTTTGCTCCTCGCAAGGTATTATATTTATTGCTGTATATTTAAGAACATATCTCCATCTATCAGAGAATATCAGCAACGGCTGAAATATAATTTAGAAATTGAAAAACAAGTATCTATCGTGACTGATCTACAGGATAGATTTCAACAGAAGTGGGAAAAAATACTTCATGTACTACAATTGCTATATAGTTTGCAGGTGGGCTCCAAATAAGAGCCTGCTCGCAGGCTATATCTTACTCTCCCTATGCTGATCTTAAGCCTCTGAAAATCAATTTTTTTTAAACACTGAATTTTTGGGTTTTTTTTTTTCAAGCTCTTACTCTTATCTATCCCACCCACAATTTAGCCTTTTTGTTTTTCGTAGCTGTAATTTTTTTGTGAATAAGTTTCTCTTTTTTTGTGTGTGTAAATGATGGGCGTCTAAATATTTGTGCATATTGTACGTAGTGTAAGTAGAACAATGTACGTAGTATAAATATTAATTGTATCTTAAGAATACTGTAAGTAAGTAGTATAACACAATGTACGTAGAGAGTCCCGTGAAATTAACCTTGATATAGTTAATGTAAGTATCATGTTGTAAAATAAAATTTTAAAAAAATTTTTCTGTATTTCCTGTATTTTGATGTATGAAAGTTAAATTAATTGACATTCATAATGCACAAGGCAAGAATAATGATAAATGCCATGGCTTTAGAGGTTAAAAAGTTAAAATATGAGAGCTGTGCAGACCATATCCTACTTTTTATCCACCTCTGGATATTTGCTCAAAAAACATGGTCACTATTAGTCTCTATGAAACTGAATAAATAGAAACTTTAATTTTTTTTTCTCTTTTTGAGGTATGCATTAAAGAATAAAGTCATGGAAGGCCTGAACTACAGGTTAATGTGAAATCGGCATGCACATGTGTTTTCAAGATTAAACCTGAATGACTTTACTACATGCCATACAGGTACAGGCAGGTGTTGTGAAAAAGTTTGCTTAGCTTTTCCATTGGTGCACATTTCTTTTTCTAAGAATCTTGTCTATGCAGCCCACGCCGAATTCTAATTTTTCAACCAAATTTTATTTTCCTCACTAACATTTTGTTATGTGTAGGGATTGGTAGCAGTCTACCGGTATAGTCTAATTTAAGTTTTGTGCACAGCCTATGCATCACATTAATGTAGTAAAATATTTTATCATTATCACTTGACTAGCTCATTAGAATAAGAATGAGTTACCAGGGACAAGTATGGCTTATCACGATGATAGTTTTCAGGTTTAAAGAAAGTCACTTTTGCTTTGAATATTTCCCCTAAATCTTTTGGCCTGCAAAAATCCTTCCTTTGCCGTGACTGCCCAACCTCGTCACAACATTGGCCACAAGAGCAATTGGCACATTAAATGACACAAACAAACGAGCCTATTCCCACATACACTCCTCAATCCTTATCAATTATCTTATTCCGGTCATTGCATTTCAGACGTGTATATGCCATAAGCGAATCCTGGTCACAATCGAAATATCTTTCCTTAAGCAGGATCTCGAACAAATGTTTCAATGGACGTCTTGTTCTACATTTTTCTATGCGTCTTTATGAACTCGACACCATGTGAAGAAGCCAACAACTCTTGCAGTTATGATCATGTAACTATTTACAAAAGGATGGCGTGCATGCACACTTAAATTATGGTGTAAGGATACTGAGATGTTGAAGGAAACATATCTACATGCGATGCAGAGTTGAACTAAACAGCTCTTCGTGCCCAATTACATAACTAGAGTGTTATTAGCGTCTGCTACAAAGAATCATCCATCAAAGCCAGAAATGTTGGTAGTGTATTGTGCAGTCACAGTGCATCCTCGCTCCTTAGTGCTGTAAACTTTCAGGCGAATAGGATGGATAGAGTTCTTTCAGAAAAAAACTGTGAGTCGAAAAAAAAGCGATTTTTACATAACTATCTCTTTCAGTTACAATGATATCTGGGTTATTGAGTTAGGTATCCGTTTACATGAGAAAATATTGATCGGCTGGCAAAATGACAAGAGGTGGATCGATACAGACCCGTCTTATTTATTTATTTATTTTTTGCGTACTTGATTGTTTTTTTTCTTGTTACATTTAGAAAGAGGCTTTAGAATGAAGAAATGGTTTGAAAGTATACCTTCCAGAGCTTGATTGGCCCATATCCTCGCTAGAATTAAAAATAGCATTTACATAACCAAATTTCGAACTTTTCATGCGCCGAATCAATTGCTTCAACAAGCGCGATAAGCAAATTAATTTAACCAGGCAAGTCACATAAGATGGCAAAAAGTGCCAAACCAATTGAAACGTTAAGCTTCTCATGTGCCGAATTTAGTGTTTAAATTAGTGTAAAGTGATTTTCCATAAAATTCTACAATTTTTCGCGAAAAAATAACGTGTTTTGGGTTCTTATTGTACCAATCACGAAGAGAGAAATACTCACTTTGCCAGCAGCTCTTTCAACTGTTCAACTGTTGCCCGTATACTGTCTTCTATGATTCCCAATCGTGAACCCAGTTCGTTCCAGAAGTGTGAATCGCTGCAAAGCTCTTCGATTTCGACTGGGTTCTCATCCACGATAATTTCCAATTTCTCTTTTAGTCTCTTAAGGTTGGCCCCTTTTTCCTCCCTTAACATCTTCTTGCAGTTTTCATGGTGATTCTTTAATTCTTTTACGAGGAAACGTTTCCAACATTTTACTTTGTAGGGGCTAATCGGGTACTTTTTCTTCATTTTGTCGCCGAGACGAAAAATACCAGTGACTAGAGAGGCAATTCCTCCGACTCCTCCGGCTGCTCCACCACAGGCCAGTGTACTCAGGAACTGGAATCCCCCTAGAAAGCCAAAGGTTGAAGGTTGTAAGCAAGAGAGCATTTTAATTATTTGTGACAGTCAATATCAAGAGGAGGGGAATACGTAAATGAGAGACTTCCGTATATTTGACCCAGAGAAAAATATCATAAAGTAAAGGAAAGAGTACTTTTTACCTTCGAAGGCCTGTGTAAAGCGCCACAGCAATTATACACCTAACCCAGCTGATTAACAGTAGCAATTTTACATGCTGTTAGCTTTGGTTGCTTTCCTGAATAGACAACTCTTAACCAAAGTCAAGTCTTCATCCCTAATTAAAAAAAATTTGGTCTACCATGAAAGCAGAAATACACGTTTTTATTGTGAATGGCATGTATTTAAATTAAAAAAATAGCCGCCACGTGGTGCGAGAACATGTACAGATGTTTGTCAGTTGTACCAACTGTGAGCTTCTAAGAACAGCCCAAGTTTTAACATCTTCTTGAAATTCGAAAGATTCGTTGATACAAATTAACACCCAGAGACATGGCCTTATTTCGAAAGATTGATTTTAAAATTGCGTTGATAATTCAAGTCCACTCCCGGGATGGCTCGCTTCTAAGAATATCTGGGGTTCGAGATATCTGAATAGGACTTGATACTTCATCTGAAATGTTTGACATTGACTCACGCACCTGCTTTGACGGCAACAAGGAGAGCAACAGCTGGACTTGCTAAAGCTACAACACCAAAAGTGCAGGGCAAGAGAAAGTTACTTGTGTAGTAGTAATGAGGGTCAAATAAGCAGTTGTATTCTTCTTTAGGTAATTCTCGATACTGAAGCTGTGGAGGTTCACGAAACCGTAAATTGAAAGACTGAAACTTGCGGCATGCTGTGTTTTTTTTCCAGTCTTGGTATGCTTTACTGATTTCATCTCTTTTGCTTGCGATAGCCTTTGTGGTCTTCTCGTTAATCTTTTTGAGGAAGAATTCGACAGAATGTTCTTCTAATGCTCCTTCACTTAACTTCTTATTTACTTCCTCTAACAGGTTTGTGTCGCTGGTGGAAACTTGTAAATCCTCATCTTCACTCTTGATGCTTTCAAAAGGATTATGTAGAGTCTTACTACCTTTCTTCGCGGAAGCCAACTCTTCACCTAGACGCTGTAGCTTTTCTGTCTTCTTCTTTCCGATGGCTTTTTTTAACCGATCGCAGTACTCCAAGGATCGTAAAGCGATAGATTTCGCCTGCTCTGTTAATGACTTGCCTTTTATCTCTGTTGCCTTCGTGGCCAAGGTGCGCTCGAACTCTTGAAAACTGGACTGAAAAGAATGGGTAGCGTAATATCAGAGCAAAATTGTTGTGATCGACTATAAGACGTTAGTGGAGGTCAGCGAGAGGTTCTTTTTCTTAAATTTTACCCTTATACTGTGGTGTTCTCTAAAGTCCACAACGTTGAACATACTAGTTTAAGAATATTTAATCTATTATTTCTGGCGCTGTCCTTGCCAAATGTGGTGTTAAAGGGAAAAAAAAAACAAAAATAAAAAGGAAAAGAAGAAACTCTTAAAGGATCAGAGGGTTCTATGCTCAGTTGAAACTTTGATATTTGTTCATGCCTCAGATTAGACCTTTTTCATAGCTCTCCTTATTCGACATTTCTGTCTACAGTGTGTGGTATCTTTGTTTGCATTGAGAATTTGTGCATAAATTAAGATTCATTATCTATAATGTGAGTACTTACGTTAGGTTCTAAAAAGTTTTCCACGTTAACGAAGTAAACTTTGCTTTTCCCTTGAAGAGCCTCCCAGAATTCCTTTTTGAAGACCTCGGCTGTTTCTGTCACATTTTTGACGGTGTCATCTCCTTCTTTCTCCGCTTTTCTCAAGCACTCATCCCATTTTGTAAAGACTCCAAAAGTGAATGGACAACCTACGTCTTTCACTAGCTCAATGAGCTACGATATCATAAAAATAACAAACGTTTTTTCACGCGTTTACGAATAGACATCAAAATGCTAATAATTTTAATAGGGTCATGGACTTGATTTTCTTTCAAAGGTTCCAACACCAGTGTTTTTATTAAAATGACTTCCCTTGGAAACGCACCCTTGAAACTACCCTTGGCGCAAGGTCTACGTTTGTGGTGATTTTAGAGGTTCAAGGTCATCCCTTAACTGCTGGATTTCTGGCTTAAACAAGTGAGAATGCCAAATTCCTAAAATAAAACCTGAATAATACGGACAATAAAGGGACATGCCAGAAATTCCACATCTAGTAGGTCAATTTTTTTTTCATCGGTGCAAAGATCAAAGCAAATACTTTTTATGGTAACTGTAACTGCTGCTTAAACTTCATTAAACTCTATCTTAAAAAATGTGGTAAGCTTTTTGTTTGCGACTCGGAGGTGATTTAAAACGCTTCAAAACTAACCATAAAAGAAAAATATACAATGCAACTCTTTACACCAGTGGATAAATTCGATTAACTCGAAGGAATCACTTCTGATTTGATCCGGGAACAGGGTGTGATAATAATATTGAATATTAGAACAGGCTTTGCGCAGATAACGCGGTGTCTTTGCTGAAAAAAGAGTAAGCAAGTTTTCATTATATTGCTTCAATGTAATCAACATAATCAAAATAAAAATTAATTATGCTAACAGGGAAAACATTGAAGTTTTACTCACTATCTCTCTCGACGGTGACGTGGAATCCATGACAGCTACAATTATGTCTGCTTTTTTGCACCTCTCAGTGACAAGCTGGATATCTTCCTCACTCTCTCCAAAGCCCGGTGTATCACACAAGATGACGTTTTCAGGCAACTTTCTACATTTTTCCTTAGGCCAGTTGATCTGTACAGTGGTGTATAGATCGATTCCTTCCTCTTTCCGTAACTTTTCGTTTTTCAGACCGCTCATTTTACTCAAGAGATTTTCTAACGCCTTTTCTTCAATGGCCTCCGAGAGAAGCTTCTTTTCTCCGTCTTTGCCAATTTTTTCAACTGACCACTCTCTATTCTCCGTGACGCGAACTCTAATTGAACACATGGTTGTTTGCATGAATCCAACAGGCACACGACGTTCGCGAAGAAGGGCGTTTATAACGGATGATTTGCCACTGTTAGTTGTTCCAACAAATTCAATGACTATATCTTTAGAGGCCAACTTCTCGCGTACATTCCTTACCTCAGTCATTGCTTTGGTTAGCCTTTGGCATAGTATTCCCAAATCAGCGCATTCCTTGAACGTTTTTTCCTCTTCACTAAGGGTCTCTTCGAACTGCTTCGAAATATCTTTAACCTTTTCCGTATCTTTCTGCAGTAATTTTGTTAGCTTCTCCACTTCCTCACGTAGGATTTCAAATTTTCCCCACTCACCCTCCATAACTGGTGATGGTCTATCTAATACTTCACTTTCTGTGAGGTATTTTGAATGAAGTTTACACCTGAAAACAAATAATAGAGATAATGTTTAATTTTTATGACTTCACCATCCTTCAATTTTCAAGAAGGATTGGAATCAATGCTGGAAATAAAGACCGAAGTGGCTGCCTTAACGTGAAACGACGTTTGGAAAAGCCTTTCGGTCAGCTACTGTTATTGAGGACTTAGATGTCCGAAAGGAATTGTTGTGTCAAAGAGTTTGTACAATCCAACAACGCTGCATAACAATTTCTCTTATGCCTGGACTTTTGTTATTCTTACCGCAGGTTAAATACTTCTTTGTGTACACTTTTGTCTCGAAACACTTCTCAGCTATTTTGTCTGTTTCCCTCGATAGTTTTTGGGTATGGAGCGATTTTAAGTCGACTTAGGTTTAGTCGATCAGCTTGTTGATCCTGTGTTGGGAATTGCCAAATAGTACTCACTTCCCTTAGACTTGGTGATTAAGGGTTTTGGCAATGTTGCTTAATAGTAAAATCAGTATCTCTAGAGTTGCTGCTGTTAACTGTGGGGTCTATGTGTCTACGTAGCTCGATCAATCTTGACATCTTGACGGCGTTAACATTCTGATGTTTTGCTCTTTACCAAAGTTTTTCTTTGATAACGTGATCTCAGCCTACTGTTCATTTTGCTAGGTTCATTGATTGAAATAATATCCAAACGCATGGAAAAATACCTGACCGAAGTTGTCAATTTGATAAAGCTCGCTATAACACACTCTCTGATAAGTTAAACAGCAAGTTCTACCAGAGTCCAAAGGTTTTGGCTTAAGCATATATTTTTTTGACAAAACGCACATGCTGTTTGATAGAAAATTGATCCATAAGGAATGGATATGCCTCGAGGCTACATGATTTACGTTCATGATCTTACTACTACGCCAGATGCGTGAAAAGTTCTAATTGCGCCAGTTGGTATGCCATGGAAACCGAGCCCCCACAACACCGCGTAAATTGGATTTAAAACTTTTCGAGTAAAGTTGAACGTTTTTAACATACATCTGAATAGCTTTTTTACACGTGAAAGATTTTGATTTTATGTACAATGTTACAAATTCTGTCTATAATACGCTGCAGTTTTCGACACTTCGATTCTACTTCTATGGACTCTTTATGTTAAAAAAATATGAAAAATGACCAAAGACAGTATGCCTAATAGATGTGGAAGACGCCTACCATGATAATGATCTCTACATTACCAACATAGTTTTTCAGTATTATAAATAAGGGAGATACACGATGTAGTCATCTTGTGGTAGGCATTGGAATCAGATTGACTGTATCCTGAAAAGAGACTGATTGAGGTGCATCATCGATGTAAAAGCGTATTCTGGAATCGATTGCAGCTCTGATCATAACTTAGCAGGTTCCATAGATCAGTAGGGAACGATCAAAATCAGGAAACGTGCGACCCGATCTTGGGGCCCTTGATGACCCAGCTACCTCAACCTAATAAGGCATACAATGTAATAAAAACCCTAAAAAAAGCCTTTCAACCACGGCAAAAAAAAAATTTGAGACACAGAGGTTCGAGTACTGAATGATATCCAAGACATTACATTGTTCCTCACCCCAATATTTTTCTACTTTGTTTAGCCAGCATTTTTTCTAAGGTAACATGTCATGTCTACGGGAATGCCATGCTATAAATTCCTATTATGAATATAGCTCGATAAATGTAAGGAATTTCAACTGTAAAGGCCGACTAATGACTATCTATTCCCCGATTTATTTCCTAGAGTAAACTGAATACTATCATGCTACAAAAATTAACCCATTCCAGTTTTTCTCTACGAACGATATATTCACATGTATAACTGTTTGCAAAAGTTCTTGTAATCGTTTGATAATTGGCAAGCTTAAACAAAAACGTCCAACCGCCTTCGGTTACTCTTTTAAACTCTGGACAAAGTTGGCCTTCAAAATTCCTCCTTGTATGCTTTGCTTTAACAAAATTCAAAAATATTTCCTTGAGCCTGACTCTGTGAGCGTGATTTCCGCTTTCAATTTTTCTCTCAAAATTGTGTAAAAAATTTGGTTATATAATAAATCCTTCAGTGTATGATCGCCTAGCTCTTTTTCAGTGCTTTTTTTTAAATCGACCTCAAATTTGGCTCATCCATAAATATGCAATCTAATAGAGATTGAGAAATATTCGCCCTTCTTTAAATTTACATGAAAGTTTTTGTATTTTGCCATGAAAGCTGGTGGTGACCACGTGACCTGTTTTTGGGCGTACCAGGTGAGACACGCGAACATATCTCTGGACATTTTGCATATTACAATGTATGCTACCAAATACCAGTTAAAAGCCTAACACCAAGCTAATTTTCGTAGTCAGCAGGGAGGAAAGAATAACAATGAGGCGAAAAGTAAACGAAATCCATTTAGAAATGCGAACCGCTCTAATAAAATATTTTGCTGTTTGCTGAGTTCGACATTTTTTGCAATCAATCAAATCCTTTTGTCCATTGGAGTTTACCCTCGATGTTTTAATTCAGGAATAAAATGAAACATCTATAGAAGAAGGTCCATTCGTGGCCATAGTCTAGCTTTAGAGGAACTTTTCATTACTACACGGCACACATTGCAAATTTGAAAAGTTTACGATTCGTTGCGTTCAGTAAATAGGTTGAATTAAAGAATTTTGAAGAAGGCAACAGGCACTTACATAGACTTTCGAATATCATTTCCTAATCCCATCCACTTACACAATCGCGCTCGTATGAGGTCGGAAAGGAATCCTCTGCCGGCAGCTTGACTTCCAAGAGCGAAAATTAACAACTCTTCAATTAAAAATTACGCAGTTGTAGCTGTATTCAGTAGGGTAAAGGCTCGTATGTCAGCACTGAATTTTGTGTTAGGATGATCCTAACCTCTTTTACGTAAAGTGATCTCTGGGGTCAAATATTTGCTCAAAACAAAAACATCACTGCATTCTAAAAACATTAGTTCTCTTCATGTTAGACAACGCATGAGCAAGAGGAAGGAATACCTGTTTTTATCCGGCTCTTCTTTATGGATTGGTAATGGAGACGTTTTCTGTTTAAGGAAAGAAGAGACAAACAGCTTAGTAAACTCAGAAAATTGACAGTCAAAGGCTTTATTTGGCTACTGGTGCAGAACGATTTTTTACGCATTGAACGGAAATAGAGGTCTTATGATGACGCTAGAAGGTAGCGTTAAAGAATATTTGTCTCACATTCAAAACAGAAAACCTGCCGCATCACAAATATTTATGAGTACCCAGTTCCTCAAGAGAAAGTTGACTAAAAATGACTAAAAATATATTGTCTAATTGACACTCAAACAATAATTACATTTTAAAAAATAATAACATTAACAATGATAATAGTGATAAAATAGCTATACAATTATAATTTAAAGTGCCTATGACACGATATTTTCGTTTTGGGTCTTATAGCTGTATTTAATATTTTTAATAGTCGACCTTAGCGAGTTCTCTTTAGAAAAGTGTGAAGACACGTCGGCAACTATGGTGAAGAAAGGTGAAATCAAGAAGAGAGGACGAACGTATTGCGTGGCCGGGGCGACAAATTATGTTATGCACAATTATAATACACATACACCGGGTATTTCTATCCATTACTTCGAACACACATAACTGGACAAACCAGGGGAAGATGGCCATCAAATTCAACTAAAAAGAATGCTGATTCAGGGGCCTGTTCCCACACTGGACACTACTATTCCTGATTCTCTTTGGCTGACATTTCGCAGGCGAAGAATGGTGAGATTCAAATTGTTGTTTATTTCACGCGCTTGAGATGTAGTCATAATCCTTGTCTTTCCACATAAGCACGTTTGCGCTTTTTCTATCGTATGAAAATCCTACCAATAATAGTTTCCATCGTATTTTGATAACAGAAAAAAATCATTTGTAATCAAGGTTAAGCCATTTTCTGAGTTGACCGATTTCCTAAAAAGTGCGAAACCCCTGCCGGATACTGGCATAAACACAAGCTCGTAGGGTCCGTGTATTCTCCGAAAATCCTGCTCATGAGCCCTCAATTCCCCCCTTCCCACAAGAAACTAAAAGGAGCAACAATAGCAATGTCTTCGTGATAACAGCACTGCAACGAGATTAATAGTGTACCACAAATATTATTGAATTAGATAGTAGCGAATCGATGCGCTATATGAAAGTCGATGCAAACGAAATGTTCATTTGCAACGCTGATGTCAGTTATTTGCCAGAGTGCGAAATCGGTTATGTGGCAATGCTGCATTTAAACTAAAGTTTTTATCAATCAAAATCCCTATTTGAGATAAACTTGATGCAGGTGACTATAAACTCACTCGTTCCCGTTTGACGGCCCGACGGCGATAGCCTCTGCCTTTAAAATTTCTGAGGAAAGGTGCAACTCCCAGTAAATCTGCCCGATGACTTATCGGCGGAAAATAATTGTGCCTCGTGATAAAACTGATCCTTGTGATGCTTCCGTCAAAAGTTAACTTTTGGTTTGCTAAGGGAATTACTCTACAGCAGCTACAGCAACGAAACTCGAGAGCGCTGACCGAGGAGAACCCTCGCCGCTCTTAGTGCGAAGGAATATGTTACGGCAACAGAAACGAACACAGCTACCCATTCTTTGCATAGATTTTGCCACGAAAAACCAAACACAAACCATACGAACAAAAATATCAGTAAAGGGGGTTTTTGTTTCAACCTTCACCTGAACACCGCAGGCGAGAAACCGTGTTTGCCAGTTTTTGTCGAAATCAACGCTGACTGTTAAAAAATTACAGGAGATGTGAGAGATTTGTAAGTGTCAACTGAGAGTTTTCGCAGTATTCTACGTCATCACCCGCTAACTAGTTAAAAGTCTACGGAACACCAAAAAAACAAAATAAGAGCACGTTCGGACCCGAAAAAACAGAGTTTTTTTAAATTTATTACGTATTGAAATTGGTTTGTATATATGATAAACTTAATAAATACGCAAAAAAAAATTCGTGTCATAGGCACTTTAGAGGGGCTAGTTCGAAAGCCTCATGGCTCCCCAATAATCTGGGTTCTAACAATGATTACCGATGCTTCTTTTAACATCGCCTTTAAGTTATAAATAGTTTCCTTATCTTATTGCAATTCCTCTTTTCGAGACTTTTGTTTCACACTAGAAGACATTCCGCGTTTTGGGATATTCCGATCCACCGTTCCTCCTTCCATCAATCGGTTGAATAACTCAAGGTAGCGTATTTCGCAGCATGCCTGCTTCACAAATTTAGCGACTCTTTTCGGCAAAAGTCGGTGACTCAGACAATAAATTGGTCTCTTTTTAAAGAAAGCAAATTTCCTCAAAGCTTCCATGATGAGAAGATCACTTCTGCTGATATATTTCTGCGAGGAAAAGTTTTTTGATTTAAATTATGCGTCGGTGGATGCCACTGAGAAATTATTTTGAGATGTTTATCGTCTTTTGTAGTGTCACGGCAAAAACTGAAAGGATTATTTATTTGGATCTACATAATTGGGGATTTAAACGGTAAAATGCTACCTCTTCGAAGAAAAGAATTTTCTGAGTTTCTTGATCCGGCTATTACAGGACAAATTTTGTTTTTTTGCGCGCGCAATCCTGACATGATCGTTGGATGTTTATCGTCTTCTGCTGTCTTCCGTATCGGCAAGACACTTTTCGAATAAAGTTGACACGTTTAAAACATAGTACTGAATAGCTTTTTTTGAAAGTGAAATATTTTGATTTTATATACAATGTTACAAATTCTGTATTTATTACGCTGCAGTTTCCGACATTTAAAGATCCTGCTCCTATAGACTCTTTAAGTTAGATAGATATGAAAAATGACAAAAGACAATATGCCTGATAGGATGTGGAAGACGCGTGCCATGATAATGCTCTCTCATCATCGATCCAAAAGCATATTCTGCATATTCTGGAATCGATTGCAACTCTGTTCATGACTTAGCAACAAGCACTGACATTGATTTTCGAATATCACTTCCTAATCGTGTGCACTCACATAGGCACCCTCGTATGAGATCGGCAAGGAATCTTTTCCGGCAGCTTGACTTCCAAGAGCGAGAATTAACAACTCTTCAATTAAAAATTACGCAGTTGTAGCTGTATTCAGTAAGGAAAAGACCCGTTAGCAGCACTGAATTTGGTGCTAAGATGATCTCAAGCTCTTCGACGCAAAATGAACGTAGGGGTCAAATATTTTCTCAAAACAAAAACAACACCACATTTTAAACACTTATGCAGTAATTTTACTGCATGTGTATGAAACAATATTTAACGAACAGAAATAGAGGTTGTATAACAGAAATAGTAAGTAAACGTATCCAGCCAATGCAGTGTGAAGGTCTTATTGCGTTCTTATTGATCCAGTTAATAGCCATAGCAACCGAGCCCTATTATGCCGCCATAACCTGCCGCCATTGTTTTTGCGCTGATAGCACTTCAAATCTTGTTGAATAGAGCAGGTAATTTAGTGTTAACAACTGGGTTGAAAACGTAAATTAGCCACCGTAAAGGGTAAAAAAGCTGACGTTTCGAGCGTTAGCCCTTCGTCAGAGCGATTAGAGGAATTGTGGGTTGTGTGTGGGTTTATATGTAGAAAGTGGAGCTACGCCATTGGTGGGAATATGGTGACGAGAAAACAGGAATAAATTTAATTAAGCTAATTTACGTTTTCAACCCAGTTGTTAACACTAAATTACCTGCTTTACTCTCCCACTCACCATATTCCCACCAATGGCGTAGCTCCACTTTCTACATATAAACCCACACACAACCCACAATTCCTCTAATCGCTCTGACGAAGGGCTAACGCTCGAAACGTCAGCTTTTTTACCCTTTACGGTGGCTAATTTACGTTTTCAACCCAGTTGTTAACACTAAATTACCTGCTTTACTCTCCCACCGACGCAGCACCACAGTTTCTTTAGAAACTTACCCCTTTATTCTTGTTGAATAGAGGTTGTGCAACAGAAACCAGCCGCATCACACATACTTATGAGTACCCCGTCCCACAAAAGAAGGATGATTCAATAATATATTGTCTAATTGACAATCAAAAAATAATTAAATTGTGAAAAAAAATTTTAGGATGATAATAACTATAACAATAGTGATAATTTAAAGTGCCTATGACGCAAAATTTATTTTCGCGTTTTCTGGTAATAGCTGTATTTAAGATTTGAAATAATCGAACTAAGCGCTCGGCGAGTTCTCCTAGAAAACTGTGAAGACACGTCGGCAACTATGGAGAAGAAAGGAGAAATCAAGAAGAGGGGACGAACGTATTGCGTGGCCGGAGCACCAAATAATGTTATGGTAATTATGCCGCGTTACGTGGAACAGTTCCCGCATACTAAGTATGTACTTTCGGCTTATTGACTCTTTCCAAAACGCCTTTCCACCCAAAATTTCATACTTTTGCGGTTAAGATCGGGCAAAACAAAAACAAGATTGGTGATATAGAAATTACAAAGGACTCATTGCGTAAATTAGATTTACACTTAGAAAGATAACTAAATGGAAAATAGCCCTTAAAGTTTGTTAGATGACAACAGAGTGAACAGGGATTTTGAGGAAGAAAGGGCATACCCAACTGCCGTTCATATAAGTCAACTAATTCTAAATTCAGTGCGGAAGGTGAACAGTACGAGTTGTGTACACCTTTAGTCACCTTACAAAAAGAGGTGCGAATGGCTATCCGGATCGGAGAGATGAGTGCATTGTACCGCATAAGCGTAACTTGATATTTGCCTGCATCAACGACTGAATTCCCAGTCTAGCTGCGCCCTAAATCTTGAAGTTCTAAGTAGCATTTTTTGATTGGAAAAAGCGCGGTATACATCTTTTGTTTTTCTCTGATTATGTTTTAAAAATGGAAAAGGGTTCAATCGATACTAAAGTTCGAGACGCTTACCTTTCCCGATCCTGCTCTAAACGTCTTACGGGAAAACATTGGGAGCCATTAGATATGACTCACCTCTCTTAAGCTTGCTATGAAATCCTTTCAGAATCAGCGTTGGAAGCTGTGGCCTAGTTTGATCAATGACTGCCGGTGTCTTTCGTGTTTTGCTTTCTTATTG